CTCTCTCTTTAATAGGGGCATGGAAAATTTTGAAAATTTTTAAATTTAAAGCATATTTCATGAGCTAAATTCTCTCTCTCTCTCTCTCTCTCAATTCCAGCTAAATAATGGTTACTCTTGTTGTCAGTATTATATGACACTTTCAACTAATTTTCACATATCAAGGAATGACAGTTAAGTTATTAAATTTGTCCTAAATTGATAAATTTTATCCAACTTTGTCACTTTTTAAATGATATGATTTAATTTTTTTTCAACTTTGAACCTCAATTAATAACAAGGATAAAATGAGAAAAATGAATTTTTAATAGAGAGGAGAGGAGTATTGAATTTTAAAATATCAATTAAAACTCTTGTTTCATTAATGATATACTACTAATTTGGAAGAAAAAGCCTATTAACAAACAAAACCCTCCTTACATGTAAGTGGGAAATTCTTAAACTTTGACATAGAGATTTCTGTTTTGATTTATTTCTTTTTCAGATAAGATGTGGCTCTAAAGACAAATACCAAAGGGCCTTTTCGTCTTCTAAACGTTGCGAAGAAATGCAAGAATCTTTGTCTTTTCTTTCATAGATCAACAGGTATAAGACGAGCATATATAAAGTAATATCTAACTAATTTTAATTGATATAAAATAAGTGAACTTAATCCTATATATGTGATGTGTTCAGCTTCTGTTCGTGATGGAGAAAGCCAAGGGATAATAATGGAGAATCCACTTTTAAACTAATCGTTTTCTATCCTACATATCATCAAATTCTGTTTCTCTCATTTTTAAACTAATCGTTTTATATAATTATCTACAATATAATTAACCAGACGGTCAGATTTTACTTTGAATAATGGCCATGTTTTCGCCATCGCATGAGAGGATCCGTACGTACACAACAAAATCCTTTCGAATTAACTTCATATATATGCTTGCCCAAACAAACTTTATGTACAATATTCTTTCAAAGGCTTTGGATAATTTAATATATTTGTTCTATGTAATGAAACTATGTAGTATCCGTTCAAGTTCAGCAAACTTTCAACAAAAATACTTTTCATGTCAAAATTTACGTATCTGATCATATTTGTTCTAATAAAATTTGGAACAAAAACGCTGCAACCAGATAATTGAAAATCGATCAAACAATGTGGCTGCTAAATTAAAATTTTAATTTTTAGTCAAACCACAATAATAAATTGTAACTCATCATAATTATTCTTTACTATCATTGGACTTTTCTGTGCTATTTTTCATCACATAATTATTTGTTTATTTTTCGTCATGACAGAGTTCTTGATCCGCTCATCTTTAATTACGGGAAGGGTCAACTCCCAGGTTTCTTGAAAACCCCAATGCAGTTTTAGATGTGGTAAGTTTAGGTCAATCATTTTTCATTCACAAATAACAAAGGTTAATTTTCCATTTTTAAATCAGTATGTATGACTTTAAATACTGGGTGGCATGATGCCATCAAAGTTATATACATATATGTGTCTGTATATATAATGTCTAGGCAATAGATTAATGATTAAATTGAATGCATAGTGCACATTCCACTAGATATGGTTGTGAATGCCACAATGGCAGCAATTGCAAAATACGGGGCTGCCGCAGCACCAGATTCAAATATCTACCACATTGGATCTTTTGTGGCAAACCCTATTTCACTCGGAGCTGTGTTTGATTATGCTCGTAGCCATTTCAAGTCTTCTCCATTGGCACAGTCCTCAAATGGGAACCAAAATCTCATTCAGAAGATGAACTTCTTAGACTCTTTGGATGACTCCTCTTCTTACATTTCAATGGAGATGGCAAGGCAAACTGGATTGTTACATGCAACAAAGCTTGAACCTGACTTCCATGAAACGCTTCAAAGAAGTCCACAAAGAAAGCACAACTTTTCATTCACATGGCTAAGCTCTACGAGCCATTTACAAAGCATGGCAAGCAAAATTCTCAGATACGTCTATCTTCTATATCGATATATAGTTATATAAAGAAGAATGATATATAATTTTGGACCTGATTAGATTAGACTATATGAATGTCAAAGAAAAACCTTGTCACTTCTTAAGCTTCCAATTTTTATAACTTTTTTACAACTGAAATGTCCTAATATTTAACGTTAACGTTCCAATTAGACTTTTGTCATCCTTCATAGATTTAGTTGTTCACATTTTTTCACTTTAACAAGAATCAATAAGTAGCACCCTGTCCTTTTGAAAGCACGTCAGATCATTTTCGGTTCCTATTTCCCAATACTCTAATTAACATGATTTTAAACATCTCATATTCTCAATTTACAAAACAATATTCAGCTTGTAGAGAATGATTGCAGATAGTTTGTAGAATTAAGCGCGGAAGTACTGTGGTTTCGTAGGTTTGATAATGGAAATACCCAGAGGCTATATGGAGAAACGTCAGCGGAAGAGATGAAGGACTTTTGATTTGATGTGAAAAGCATAGATTGGGAGCACCATATATCCAACATTCATATCCCAGGTGTGAGACAGCACCTTTTGAAGTGTTGAATTCTTGAAGGAAGGGCTATGTATAATTAGTAATTTCATCACTTGATATCTGATACTGATTATGTATTTAATTATGCTTATTTCGATGTTCCGCTTGTCAATCGATCAGTGTATTATGTAGAAGAAACAATGTGTGCTTTTGATTTCGTTAATTACTATTAATTGATCACTCATTTCATGAACCAAATTTTTTAAGAAAATATCCTAGTATATTATGGAATAATCAAAACGATAATGATATCCTTAAAAGAAAACAAATGCAACGATCACACAAAATAAAACAAATTATTCTAGAGGTCAACATAACTTTTTGTCCTTGAAATTGAGACTTATTTTGGTTTTAGTCTTTCGAGTTTCACACTCGTGGTTTTGATCCTTGAAACTTAGTTTGTCTTAAAACATTAGTAGTTGAAAATTTAACGGTGTTAAAATCTATTGAAGTGTTATAAACGGTATTAAAGTGGTAATATGGACTCATCAAATGACACTTATGTGAAAGAACAAGTCCTCAAAATGAAGCTGTTTACCTCTCTTTTTTCCTCCCTGTTCATTTGACAAATTGTTTAATTATTACGGTACATTTTGAGAGCTCATTTTCCTCAATACAGTCATTCGCTATGTTGCTTTTTGAGGACCTATTCTTTTTTTCCTATTATTCACACAAAAAGTTACGTGCTATCTAGTAATTCCACATTATTAATTTAACACTGTTTAGGATGATTCAGCAGATTTTAACATTGTTTACACCTCCAAGTACTAACATCTATTTTAAGACAGACTAAATTTTAGGGACTAAAACCATACATATATTTGAAATTTGAGGGACCAAAACCAAAATAAGCCCAAATTTCATAACTAAAAATTTTCTTTTAAATCTTTTCTTTTCCTTCTTTTTCGTATTTTCATCAGTGAGCCAGAGATTAATGAGCTGAAAGATGTGATTATTTGGCCTAGGAGGAAGAACTGACATTGAACAAGCTATTAGGAATCTAGTATATATAGATAGAGCGGGGAGGAATATGATGGCTTGTGAGGCAGGGAAGAAATTATGTCAAGTCTTTTCCTTTGACTTCTTTGCTCCTATCCCCCTGAGTTGTCTCTCCTCTCATTGCCGCATCATAAATGCATAGTTTGGTGTGAAGTTCATCTGCGTCCTTTTTAAAAACAAACTATAGATTAGATCCAATCAATTGAACCAATAACAACAGAACACAGCCAATAAAAAATAAGATCTATTTTGATTTCTTACTCGCTATATATATATTTATATATAACCAATTAGGTTGGTCTGTTTTACTTCACTTTGATTTGAACACCCCTTATTCACTGTCTTAATGAAATTAGCCATTATTTAGGCAAAAACTCTACTCTAATCTTGAGATTTGGTGAAAAATATTATTAAAAAATCTTCAAAATATTGTTCTCAAATTAATAATACATTTTGCGAAGTCATGTCGACTCCTTTGTCCTTTGGTCTGAATTGACTAGATTTCATGTTCTTGTAAGAATTAAAGTTTGCATATACTGGTAGGATATTGATTGCAACCATGAAAGTGATTAGTAACCAAAAAAAAAACATGGAAAGAAATTCCCTTATCAATAATGTTTCTTCATTTTTTGAAATGGGAATGGCTAGCTAAAGCTTGATACAAATCAAGAGATTAGATTTGTGAGAGTCATATCTCATTTCACATGCATATGTTAAGCTGGACATCCTTTCCTGAGCCTTTCCTTCAAGAATTCAACACCTGAAGAGGTGTTTTCTCACGCCTGGGATGTGAATGTTGGATATGTAATGCTTCCAATTTATGCTTTCCACATCAAATCCAAAGTTCTTCATCTCTTCACCTGACATTTCTCCGTATAATCTCTGGGTATTGCCATTATCAAACCTAGCCAAAATCCAACCACGTACACTCCATGCTTAAGTTTACAAAGTATATACAATTTTTCTCCACAAATTAAATATTGCTTTGTGAATCAAGAATATAGGATGCTAAAAGTTAAACATTTCAATTAGAGTATTGATAAATATGAAATGAGAATGATTAATGTCTTTAAACAAGAAGAAAAATATCGAAGAACAGTGTGCTTGTATTGATTTCTGATAAAGAGGAAAAGACTGAGCAACTAAATTTCGAAAGAATCACAGAAGTCTAATTAGAAACTTAGTGTCAAGCATTTATAAGGACTTATCAGTTGTGAAAAGTTATGAAAATTGGAAGCTTAAGTAGTGATAAGGTTTTGCCAAAACCAAACTTTTGATTGCGAAGTTTTGATTTGGTATTAATTCAATCTCAAATGTTTATTCAATACAACTTAGTCCTTAATATAGAAGCTAAGTTACAACCAAGTCAAAATTATAAGAACTAAGAGATTAATTTTTTTCAAGATATTTCGGTCATTCCTTGTCTGATCTAATGTTATATAATATCCGGTGACATAGAGTCAAACGTAGCGTATATATGTTTGCTTACCACGCTTTATAAAACATGTATGGCTCGTAGAGCTTGGCCAAGTGAATGAAAGCCCGTGCTTTCCTTGTGGACTTCTTTTGGAGGGTTTTATGGAGATTAGGTTCAAGCTTTGTTTCATGAAACAATCCAGTTTGCCTTGCCATCTCCATTGTAATGTAAGACGAAAAGTCATCCAAAGAGTCTAAGAAGTTCATCTTCTGAATGAGACTTTGGTTCCCATTAGAAGACTGTGCCAATGGAAAAGACTTGAAATGGCTACGAGCATAATCAAACACAGCTCCAAGTGAAATAGGGTTTGCCACAGAAGATCCAACGTGGTAGACGCTTAAATCTGGTGTTGCGGCAGCCCCATGTTTCGCAATTGCTGCCATTGTGGCATTCACAACCATGTCTACTGGAATCTGCATTATGCATTTGATTTAATCATTAATCTTTTGGTTAAAGATTATATATACACATATATATTCCTTTGATGGCATCATGCCACCCAGTATTCAAAGCCATACATACTGATTTTAAAATGGGCAATTAACCTTTATTATAATTTGTGAATGAAAAATAATTGACCTAAGCTTACCACATCTATAACTGCATTGGGGTCTGCAAGAAATCCTGGGAGATGACCCTTCCCATAATTAAATATAAGCGGATCAAGAACTCTGTCTTATGATGAAAGAAGAAGAATAATTATGTGATGAAAAGTAGCAGAGAAAAATGCAATGACTAAAAAATAATTATGGTCATTTTATTCGTGTTTTGACTTGAAATAATTAAACATGAGTGAACTCTGTTTTGCAATGAAAAATGAAAATAACTGTTTTTTTGGGGGGGGGGGGGTAGGATAGGATAGGATAGGACCTGTATCCTTGAATCCAACCAGGGAAAGGCTCAGAGTAAGAGCTTTCAACGACAGAGGGACGAAGAATGACCATTGGTGTGCCATCTCTGAAGCTGCTTATTAACATCTCTCCCATCGCCTTTGTGAATGAGTATGTGTTTGGCCATCCGTACATATTCGCCCTGTTCATATATATATCGATGCTTTCAACAAAAATTATGAGCCAAACAATTTGATCTCCAATTTTCAAGTAAATATATAAAGGCATTCCTACGTTGTACGTACCTCTTCACACCCAATTCTTTCATCTTCTGAGTTGCTTGATCCTGTTGGAGTGAATCCAGCATTTCTGATGCCGACTTTAGTTCAAAATCTATGTCCTGTTCTGTGATTGCCCTAGCTCTTCCTTGTCCGATGTAAAGTGGCTTCTCCATTATTATCCCTTGTCTTTCTCCATCACCAACATAAGCTGAACATCACATATATTCGATTTAAGTTCACTTACTTACATATAAAAAATCAGTTCTATGTTACTGTATGTTCTAGTCTTATACCTGTTGATATATGCAAGAGAAGACAAAGGTCCTTGCACTTCTTCGCAAAGTTCAGAACACCAAACGGTCCTTTGGTGTTTGTGTTCAGAGCCACATCGTACCTGAAAGTAAATTAATTCAAAACTAAAATTTAACTAGCAACATGATAGGAAAAGTTTGGAGTGGTGAATTGGAAGACACCTCTATCGGTAGATGAAATTTAATATTACTTCCAGTTCTAAATATAAAATCTATTTTTATAAGGTAGATTTTAGTAAAAGGAAAAGATTCTTTTATCTCCTTTCTCGGTTTTCTCCCTTGCTCTTTATTCGCTCTAATTCTCTCCCCCACTCTATATTTTTCTCTCATCTTTTCTCCCTTTGTCTTTCCTCTATCTCTCTCCTCTTTTCCTTCGTCTCTCCTCCCCCTCTCTTTTCTCTCAAAATTTTCTCTCCATTTTCATTTACATATTAACCATGAAAACTATTTTTTATTTTAAAGAAAACTATACTAAATTTCTATTTTCATACCAAACACACTTTTATAATCCAATTCAATTCATTTTTATTCTAATTATGCTTCATTTTTCTGTCCAATGGCCTTCAAAAACTCTGCCATCATACAAAACAAACACTTGAGCTCGATTAGATGTTATTGCAACAAGACTAACGCATCCAGGATATGGTTTTAGTCCATATTCTTTATTAGGAGATTTGGTTTAGTCTATACGAGACTTGGATAGTTCAAATATTGTTTTTTTTTTTGCATTTATAATTTGTAAAATAAACAATTTCTGTAATAAGTTGATTGTTATGTAAATATCTTATTTAAGATAAAAAAATATTATAATTAAATTTTGGAATACAAGCTTCATTATCAGGCGATATAATTATAAGGGTAATGACAACGCAAGACCTTATTAGAAAATCAATGCCAAACAACGCCTAATTATGAAAAATTGTAAAAACCTTTTTTTTGCTTTGGGGAGGGGGAGGGGTTTGGTGCTAAAAATTGAAAGCTTAGGTTTTGACGGAGCCTTTATTTGCCATTAACTATCTAATCAGATCCTAAATTGTTATTCTCCTGGTTATAATTTTCTATGGTAGCATTATATTGTGCAGTTATAAAACATGAATACTAAAATATTTTTAATTACAGAGACCTCCTTGAAAACAACAAATTAAGGGCTTGTTTGGTTTCTTGTTTTGGAAACAATTTTTAGTTTTTTAAAACAGAAAAATCAAAAAACTTGTTTGGTAAGTTGTTTTTAGTCTATTGTTTTAAAAAACAAAAAACAGTAACAAGTTTTTAAAAACCAAAAAACCAAAAGAATTTTTATATGTTTTTCTGTTTTTGTTTTGAAAAATTTTGAGAAATTTTATTTTCTTCTCATCTACTATTCATCACTTATTATTATCAATCACAACTATCATCTAACAAGTATGGTTTTTTATGAGTTTTTTTTTTTCAAACATGATTTTTTTAAAATTATTATCCAAAAAAATTCTTTTATTTTTTTGTTTTCAAAACTTGTTCTAAAAACAATTTTATAAAATTGTTTTGAAAACAAGAAAACAAAGAACAAAAACAAACAAGCCCTAAATTGTTGTCTTTTAGTTTACTCAAACAAATGATGTTAAATTCTATAACTACCTTTCATCAAAGTTGGTACTGGCTGCTGAATTTACAATGACATTCACTTTGGTTGCAATTTCATTTGCTGTGAGAGGGTCCATCCCAAGATCAGATTCACAAACACACCCAGGCACTGCCACCAGCTTCTTCATCAGGTAGGCCTTGTAGTTTACTCCGTACACTTCTTCAAGGCTCTTCAACAGTTCAGATTCTATGATCTGTGCATGCAAGTGATGGGTGATGTCAAAATAATACTACATCAGTCCTTAATATAAGATGTATTTAACTAATTTGGAAAAATTAAGAAAAGAAATTAAGTTAGTTATTTGTCAAAAATATGTACTGGTATTAGATTGAAAAAGCCCATTAATGTAAACTCCCTTAACATATATAATTAATAGGGTTAGTTTGGATAAATAAGGGAGATAAAATAGATTGGGGTCTTATATTTAGGACTAAATTCAACCTCTTGATTAGGGACAGGAATGTAGAGTGAGATCTATTATTATTGCAACATGTTTTCAAACTCCGCATAACACATAATTCATAGACTAGAGTTCGATTCAATATAATAAATTCTGTAGTATAAAGGGTCTTCTACCAAAAAACTGAAACTCTTTGAAGCTCAGGTTCTCATTTTCATGTGCTCTGACATCAGCATATATCATATAAAATATAAATTATATGGCAAATTATGTTGTTCACAAACTCTTTGAAATTTACTCCATAAAATTTCATCCAATGCATAGGCTTCTCTGAGATCTAGTCCTGGAATACATTTACATAGAATGCAAAGATGTTTTATGGTGATTAGGGTACGTATAACTAATTAATTACCTCAGTTTTCAATCTGTTTAATGCTACTTCCTTGTCTTTTGCTTTGATCAACACAAAAATTTGCCCCATATCAGGTGCCGTCCTCAACATCTTCTCGACCAAAACTGCAACGTTATTGGAGATACATATATTTGTCAATAAATAAACCTTTACAATAATATATATTCTTTTTGTTCTGGACGTGAGGAAAGTGACAATAGTAATACTGCAAAGAAAATGCAAATACCTTTTCCCACGAAACCAGTAGCGCCAGTAATAAAATAGTTCTTTCCTTGAAGAAATCTGGCAATACCAATACCATGACCCTGTTTCCTTTCCAAGCCACTTTCTCTTTTTGGGCTGTGAATAACACTGTTAATAATTTTCTCTGGCTTCTCATTATCAGAGAAATAAGGTTTCACATGGCTGCGTTTCTGGTGGGTATTGATGGTTTTGGGAGGTCCATAATGTACTGTTTGAGGTTTTAACAGTGGAAAAGAAAAACTAATATTGAGGGAAGAAATCATTGGCTCGAGCAGCAAAGGGACCGATCGGTCAGAGAAAGATCGGTGCTCAGAGTTTTTGGCTTGTGCATGAGTATGTGAGTGAGGAAGCTGGACCAACCTCACTTAAATAGAACTTTTAGCCAGTCTAGGGGTCCCATTAAAGAGAAAGTTAGGTGGGATCTTATTAAATATCATTGGAGTATTTGAGTTTTTTTTTTTTTAATGGAAAAGTGATGAGTCTCTCTAAAATTCTGGATAGACCGTTCGGTTCATGATCATCAATTGTAAACTAAAAGAGCATGGTAATGAAATCCAGGATCCATTGAAGTGATCACGTTTTAGAGGATTTGAAAAGCAAGAACCATCCGAAAGAGACTATATATGTAAATTTTGGTATAGTTCTTTTCTTTTTCCCAATTGAAGACGGGTACAGATGACTTGAAGTTACAAGGGGATTAAACCGACTCCAAGCTCTCATAACATAGGGAGTTTTTATACCACTAGTTAGGTTTCAAGGTCATTGGCGTAATTAAATTGGTATTGATGGTTTGGATGTGACTCATTCATATAAATGGTCATATGCATCTTCTTAAAAACCAAACTAGATTAAATCCAATCAATTTAACACTTGAAAAAAAAAAAGGACTTCCATCGGCAACATTTTGTGTGACTTTTAGCGATGATATTAAGAGTTGCGGCTGAAAATCTTACCAGCGACATTACGAGTCCCCATTGAAGGGTCTTCTAGAGGTGACAATACTTTCAGTGTCGACTTATTTGGTCACCACTGATGAGTTTCAGCAACAATTCTTATGGTAACGACTTGCCAATGACTTTTTTCACCATTGAAGACTTTCAACGGTGACAAAAGTTAATTTTTTTTTATAGTGGAACCAACAACAATGGAGTAAAACCAATCAAAAATTAAGATCTCTCTTGGTTTCCTACTTGCTATGTATAATTACTTAAGTTGGTTTGTTTTAATTTAGTCGGTTGGAACACCCCTTATTCATGTTTTAATGGAATTAGCCATTAGGCAAAAACTCTTGTGCCACCTCCCAGTGGGATTCTTTCTTCAATTCTACTTTAATCGTGAGATATAGTGAAATATATATATAAATATATATATATATATATATCTCTTCTCAAAATATTGTTTTCAAGGTCTAAATCGACAAGATTTCATGTTGTTATAGTAAAGCTTGTAAAAAGGAATTTCCAAAGACAGCAGGCTCCATTTGCTATGGGCCTTGAGAAACTTTATTTTGTTTATACCAAGTTTGGCAGTTTCCACCAATTTATGGTTAATTCTTGTAATGGGAGGATACAGAACAAAACTTACGGTATCATAATAATTAATTACATTTTGAGACCTACACGTTTTAAATCCCAATTCAGCACTTTAAATTTTTTAAAGACATTAACAAGATAATATATAGACAAATTAATTCTAATAATAATATACACAAATAAAAAATCCCGTAGGCCTCAATTGAAAACACCAGAAGCTAATTTTGAAATCTTGGAAGCCTAAATTGGAATAATCATCAATTAAGAATTTTTTCACTTTCATTCTTTCATCATTTTAAACTTGTATGTACTATTTTCCAACTTAGCTTTTGACATTTTTTTTAAATTAAAGGATGGATATCAAAAGGGGAAAAAATTCATCGCAGTTTCCAACTTATTAAGCTTTTGGATCGAGGTTTCCACCCGAGACTATCGGAATTTTCAATTTGTATGCTACGAGTAACTAGAATATTTTTTTCAATTAACCCTTTTTAATTATCAATAAAAGACCAATAAATTTAATTCACATTTTAAGATTTCAAAGTGTTGAAATTATTATAATTCACATTATTTCGTTGCAAAAGTCACATCCTCGTGAACTACTCTATTCTTCATTGATGAATGATATTAATGTTATGACTATGAATAGTAATGTACCGTGTTTCACTTCCACAGCTCTCTGTCTGAACATTTTGTTGAAACATCGATATCGAAAAATCTAATAACAAATAAATTTGACGTCAGATCACTTCCCTTTTTGGCTTAAAATTTTAAATCATTTCAGAAAGAAAAAGACATATAATTAATATAGAATATAAACACATATAAGTTCAAAGGCATGGACAGCTAAATAAATAAATGATACCCTTAGCTAGCTTAATTTGTGTTTGCAACATTGAATTCCATAACTGTACTGCTGTAAAATTGTCTCTTCCAATTGACGAACCTGTTTGGCAGTTAGATATATATAGTATACTAGTAAGTATGGAAAAAAGAGGAATGATTTTAACGGAGGCAAGGCTGTGTTAAAATTTTTATGCATGGAAACAGAAATAAAGCATATGTAAGTATCGTGGAAGATTGATAAAAAAGAAATTTGATAAAGAAAACTAAAGACATGCCAATTGAACTACGTACTTTTTAAGGTATGCCTAAATATTAGTAATAAAAAGACCTTTCAATGTGCCTCTTGGTTTAGCTAATCCAGATTCTCTTAATTAAATATGAAATATGTATATAATTGTGAGGGAGGGTAGAGATATGAATTCATTTAATTTGACACATGAAAATTAATTGTCAAAAGGTTATGAGTCGAGATAGAAATAAAATAATAAACAACATAATTACTCCCGTCAACCGATTTCTTTTATGAGATATATAATTAATGAGTATAATTTGCCAACAGCATATATTAATATTTTTTTGGTATTGAAGGCGCCTTTCCCAGCTAAGTTTGTTACATCCAATTACGTTTGTCATATATACAAAAGTTAGGATTAATCGAACCTACATTATTATTCCTCTAGTCCTATTTATAATGCATGAGTTAATGACAACCTGAAATAGGAATAAAGTTAAAAAATTATCATATTTTAAAACAGAGTTAATGCAATTTTAGATTTTTTCTTAGTTTATATAAAATATATTAGAAATGCCTATAAATAGGAGCAGACCAATACATGCTTTAAGTGTTATGGGCCCATATAGCAACCCGACTTGGTTCATTAACTATTTTGGTTAGAATCATCTTCAATGACCATGCCTATTACCATGAGATGGGCAGGAGCTCACGTTGGTCCGGTCATGAGATGACTCCTTTTTGTTTTCGGCCGGAGCCATGAGATGACTCTTTATAGTCGAGTAGAATTTATTATTATTATTATTATTATTATTATTATTATTATTATTATTATTATTATTATTATTATTATTATTCAGTGTTATGAGAAATAATTATATTGCAAATAAATATGTGTAATATATAATTTTTAAATATTTTTATAAAAATAAGGATAAATGACCTGCAAGTCCTTAATTATAGTTTCAACTAATGCTTTTGTTTTGGACTGAAAGTTTCAACCAATGTTTAATTAAGTCTTTGCAGTTTTGCTTTTTATCAGATCTTCATACTTTTACTTGTTTTTAATTAAGTACTTGTAGTTTCTTTCCTTTTCATTAGGTTCTTATCATTTCACCTGATTTTTAATCAGGTCTCCAAATTTATTTAATTCTTTATTCTACGAATCTTGATAATATTCTTCTGTAAATATAAAATATAATATTTTTAATTATAATAATATTAAATATTATTCTATAAATAATAAATGATTATATTGAATTTATTTTCATATTTTTAAATTTTTAATCAAAACTTGCATTTATATTTTTCATTTATAATTATAATTTATTTTATAATTATAAAATTTGATTGATAAAACTAAAATTTACTAAAACTAAAATATAATTGCGATAAATTTATGATCAACAATTCAAATTAATTAATAATTAATAATTATATTAGATATTTTTAAACCTATATAAATATTACTTTAAATTTGTTAACAACATTTTATACTTGAATATTATTTAATTAATTAATTTTAAATTAAAAATAAAGAAAATTTAAAAATAAATGGATCTGGTTAAAAATCAAGTGGAGCTGTAGGAACCTATTAAAAAATAAGTGAAAGTATAAGGACTTAATAAAAAGAAAAAAATTATAAGGACATAATTAAAAATTGGTTAAAACTATAAGAATATGTAAATTAATTATACCTGAAAAATATATTTAATAAGGTTACTAATAGTCTTCTCTAGCTCTATTTATATGTGTGAGAGGTTTTTTTTTTTATGCTATTTATAAGTCACATTATTAATTTCTTATCTAATATATAGTTTCACCTTTCATTTATTATTGTGTATACTATTATTTTCCTGAAAAGTGTATATATTAAATAGAGATAAAATTAAAAAAATTATTAAATTCTAAAATAGAATTGATGAGATTTAAGATTTTTTTTATTCCTCTAAAATATACTTAAGTTACTTTATACTTAAGATTGAGTACTTTTTCAAACTAAAGAACGAATAGAGATTCTTTTCTTGACTAAAGCAAACGACAATGAAGTTAGGAAGCAGTTAAGGAAAAGCCAAAAGCTGAGGTGGGTTTTGCCGTTTTGACTTTTCTTGTTGTAATCACTTGCGTTCTAAACTTGACTAGGATTTATTTCACATGTGATGCACGTAAATAAACCAACAGAATCGAATCGATGCAATAAACAAGAGTACTCTCTCTCTCTCTCTATATATATATAAAGGGGAAAAATAATTATAGTGGAGGTTCAAACAACTAATTATAAATATCTTCTTTAAAAGAATGAAAATTATAATGAAAAAAGCACCAAGAATTCGATCTGAAATAAAATTTCTCTTAGAAATCAATAAGCAGCAAGCTAAGTTTCATTTATTAATAATAATAGCAATAATATGAATAGGAATAATAACAATAGCAATAGCAATAACAATAATAATAAAAGTAATATGTTTACCGAAAAAGTAATGGAAATAATATCAATAGCAATAATAATACTAACAAGAATAATAGTAGCAATAACAACCATAGCAGCAGCAAGCCAGCAATAATAATAATGACGATGCTTGCATTTAGTTCCAAGTGATCCTTGGTTGTCATTTGAGCAATTTGTAAATGTTAACTTTTCTTCTCCTAAGGGCCCTACACATTAAACCCAAATAGATGTCATTAATACCAAGTAACAAAAATAATGAGACACTTGGGGAATTTAAGAAGTGATCAAATTAGTCAAGTTAGCAACTAACTCACGCAGACACCTCTTAATAAAATTAATTAACTCCTATAATTAAGTCCACTTAGTAAGGCACCAAAAGCTTAATATTAGATGCATGTATATATTCCATACAAAATAGGGACTTATGAAATACATGCAGATCAGATCTTCCTTCACTTTACCATTCTCTTGGTTTTTGTATCAGAAGAAACTAACAAGCATTCCCAGGCACTACTTGCTCGTCAAAACAAGCTTTCTCAGACCAGGGATATGAGTGTCGCATGTCTACTCCTAATTTATGCCTTCTAGGTCAAACCAAACTTCTTTATCTGTTCATTTGACCCATCCTTCATTAACTTTTTTGCATTCCGAATGTCAAACCTTGCAGACACCATTAATTTTCTGTGTTAACTTGTGTTCTCACGTGCCAAATATATATATAACCAATAATACGATAGTGTTTTGAAGAACTCTAATGTTTGTAAAAGTTTCCTCAAGTGATTAATTTTAGCTTTTGCATTTTCTTAAAGTGCATGACAGATCATTGATCAGATGAAACAGTTTTCATCATAGACCTTAATCGAAGGGCCAAAAATTGACACTGGAGCAAAACTTGACATATCTTCTGGTTTAGAGAATCTAGATTTTTCGGAGGAGCTTGTTTAATTACCTTCCTTTGAAAAACGTGTAGGGTTCATAGACTTTGGCCATTTGAATAAAGTAGCTTGCTTGCTTCTTGCAAAGCATTTGGAGCCCGTTATAAAGGATGGGATCTAGATCAGTGGGATTTGGTTCCACGAACCATTTTTCTTTGCCATTTCATTTGAGATCAAGGATGAGAAATCATCGATGTTGCTGAAAAGCTTCATTCTGGAGATGCTAATATCATTCCCTTTTGAGTCAGAAAGTGGATTGCACTTGAAGTGATCATACCAATACCCAACTATATCACCGTATGAAATGGAATTTACCAAAGATGACCCAAATTGGTACACAGTCAAGCCAGTGTCACCAGAATTGCCATGCGTTGCCATTCACTACAAAAAAACAAACTTTAGGCGGTGACAAAAAAAGTCACCGTTGATGTCGTCGCCGAAAGTCCACTTTCAGCGGCGACACCAAAAAGTCCGCTGAAACTAAGACTTTCAACGGCGACTTTTTTTGTCGCCACTGAAAATGGACTTTTTAGTGGTGACTTTTTTTGTCGCCAGTGAAAGTGGACTTTGAGCGGCGACTTTTTTTGTTGCCACTGAAAATTCACCGCTGAAACTAAGACTTTCAGCGGCGACTTTTTTTGTCTCCACTGAAAGTGAACTTTTAGAGGCAACTTTTTTGTCGCCGCTGAAAGTTCACTGCTGAAACTAAGATTTTCAGCGGCAACAAAAGTGTCACCGCTGGACCTTCAGCGGCGACTTTTTATTTCGCCGCTGAAAGTAGACCTTCAGCGGTGACTTTTTTGTTGCCGCTGAAAGTTCACTACTAAAACTAAGACTTTCAAAGGCGACAAAAATGTCACCGCTAAAAGTGGACTTTCAGCGGTGACTTTTTTAGTCACCGTGAAAGTTTAATATAATAATATATATTATTTTACAATATTAATAAACAAATTCAATCTGGCTTAGCAGCAAGAAGATTAGACACGAAAGGAGGTGGTTACGAGTTCGAACCTTGAAGAAGACACATTTAAGGTGAAAATATTTAGACGATTACGTGACGAGGAGGAGTGATGTGGCAATGATGTGGAGGTGGCCAGTGATGATGTGGCGGTCGGTGGTGATGATGTGGCACTTGGTGACGATGACATGGCGGCCGGCGATGATGATGTGGCATCGGCAGTGATGACATGGCGTTGGTAAAGCCAATTCTTCTTAGGCATTACTTTCAACGGCAACAAAAAGTTCACCGCTGAACATACCTTTCGGCGGCGACAAATGTTTGTCTTTTAGTGGTGATAAGAATGTCGCCGCCAAAAGTGTCTTTCAGCGGCGACATTCTTGTCGTCACCTAAAGTGTGTTTAGCAGCGACAAATGTCACCGCCGAAACTTCTAAAAATCACCGCTGAAAGATACTTTCAGCGGCAACCTTTTTAGTCTTCACAGAAAGTTTTCAGCCACGACTGCTACGGCAACGACTTTTTAGTGGCGACACTTTCAGCGGCGACTTTGAAAGTCAATTTTTTTGTAGTGATTAAAGCTATTGCAGCATTCACTGCCATATCTACTGGAACCTGCAAAAAAAAGGGGACAAAAAAAATTTGATTCTTAAAGTCAGACTAACTTATGGTGTCACAACCTAGTTTTATCATTTTGCAGGTTCCAGTAGATATGGTAGTGAATGCTGCAATAGCTATAACGGCAAAGCATGGCAATTCTGGTAACACTGGCTTGAGTGTGTACCAATTTGGGTCATCTTTGGTAAATTTGATTTCATACGGTGATATGGTTAGGCATGGTTATGATCACTTCAAGTGCAATCCACTTTCTGACTCAAAAGGGAATGATATTAGCATCTCCAGAACGAAGTTTTTCAACAACATCGATGATTTCTCATCCTTCATCTCAAATGAAATGGCAAAGAAAAATGGTTCGATGGAACCAAATGCCACTCATCTAGATCCCATCCTATATAACAGGCTCCAAATGCTTTGCAAGAAACAAGCAAGAGACTTTATTCAAATGGCCAAAGTCTATGAACCCTACACATTTTTTAAAGCAAGGTAATTAAACAAACTCCTCGTAATCTAGATTCTCTAAAGAAGAAGATATGTCAAGTTTTTCTCAGGGTCAATTTTTGGCCGTTCGATTCAGGACGATGATGAAAACTGTTTCATTTCGGTTTTCTGACAATTATGTAAGAGGCAAAACCATGCTTTATTTTTTAAGAAAAGCATTATCCAAACATGTCAAAATCAATTATAAACAGAAACTAAATACCCTTACCTATACATGTAAAAATCAATTATTAAAATAAAATCATGCATGGTTATCTCATAATTTCCAACACTCCTATATACATAAACCAAAAATCATGGCTATCTCATAAGGGTTTTTTTTAAAGAAAAAAAGTACCTTGATTTTGACACTCAAAATTGTTTCTTTCTATCTGATTTTTCAGAATAAATCATACAATACCCCTTTAAGTTTTCCTGAAATCATGTCAATCTCTCGTTTATTTCAAAATAAATATAAATCTAGGTAATTTATATTTATTATTTCAGATTTATTTACAGTGTAAAAAATAATATGATCTCTATTTTTTTTTCCACGCATATGAAATCAATAATATTCGAGCACTACTCTTTTTCTCCACTACAAAGATAATCCCCGATTTTTCCTTTTTTTGGGGGAGGGGTTTGGAGAAGCTAATTAAGCAGCTATAAGTTAGCTAGGAGATTAAAATAGTCATTAAACTCAGAACAATGCGTGAAACTTATTAATCATCATCATCATCGTGTGCAATATATATGTGTGTGTGTTGTGTGTGTGTGTGTGTGAGTATGCCAAATCAGAGAGAAATGGTAAATAGCTATTGCCACGTCCCAAATTCCTTCTGGGTCAGAAAATACTCCTTCAAGCTGCCCTTTCCCATGCGATAAAGTAAATGGATCCATCATTGAGTTGTTATAATTAGTGGCACAAAAGTAAAAAACCAGACACGATTGATGATCAATAGTATTTTGAATGTTTTGTATAAATTAAAAATTTGAGTTATACATATTAATTAATAACATAGAAGGTTACCTCTTTCCTTCTATCCATCCGGGAAAAGGTTCTTTATAAGTGCCTTTAATCACAGATGGACGAAGAATGACGGTTGGTATATCACCTTTCATTCCGGTGATCAGCATCTCACCCATCGCCTTTGTAAATGAGTAAGTGTTTGGCCATCCATGAATTTTGGCCCTACAGGAATTATAGTGTCCAAAAATTGTTTTAAAAATAATAATAATTAATTGGTCCACATGGGTATTTATAGTTTAAAGATTTTTAAATCAAAATCAGTACAAAATACTTCTCTGGTGCTAATTACAAGAGTTACTTAAGAGTTAGGTTTTGATCCTAAATATATGACTTCTATCTATTTTATCTCTAGTATTTATCATTTTCTCCAAGACTAATTTACTTAACTTATAAACTGATATATAATCTAATATTATACAAGAATATTTTAGAGAGATCAAGTCATATTTATTAGAACTAGTTTATGGTTAATACAATATTTGGTCCTTATAATTTACCCTCATTTTGGTTTTTATTCCTATAATTCCAAACCATAGGTTTTGATCCTCAAGAGGCAAAATAGTCCAACTCCTTGTTAAAATATTGGGATTAACGCATCTTAGACAGAAAGAAATTTAAAAAAGTCAAAACTTATGGTTTGAAGCCACAAAGACCGAGATCAAAATGAGAACAAATGATGAGGACCAAACACTGCATTAAGCCATTAGTTTATATAGCTTCATTAATCTACCCAAGTTAGTTAAACATCTCTTATATTAAAAACTCGAGGAATATAACATTTGTGGCAATATTTAGTCATCATCAATAATTAATTAATTTAGCACATTTATCAAATCGTATTTAGTCCGTGATGAAACAAGAAAACCAATACAAAAAGAGTTAGCTTCTTCAGCTTACTATACCTCTGAACACCAAGTACTTTCATCTGTTGATGCGCTGCTTCTTTATCATTGACAGATTCCTTTAGATTTGCAGCCAACTTCATTTCATCATTGATATCAAGTCTGGGAAGTGATGCTTTCTTTCCTGGGATAATTATCTCTTCCATAGATAACGAGGGCTCCTCTATTACTCCTTCACTTTCACCATTGACATAAGCTGCAGAATTTTATACATATACATAAACACACACACACACACACATTCAATGTTATCATTTTTGAAAGTTCAATTTAGGGTTAGGCTATTATAGTGTGCTTAATATATATGTACGCACCAGTTGATACGTGAAGGGAAAGGTAGATCTTTTTGCAGGTCTTGACAAAACTTAGCAGATTAGATGGCCCTTTTGCATTGACACTGGGAGCAACATCGTACCTGAAACAGAATTTCCCACAAAAATCACACTAGTTAATGAGTATGATTCTAGGAGAAGGAAATTTAATTTGGGACATAATCATTCATGTTTAGGTCCCAAAACAAGTTGCAATAACGGGAAATTCAATTTGACCTTTGGTAATCCCAGTTGGTTTTTTGGACAGCCCAAATCAATGATGAAAAAGCAATAATACTATTAGGACTTTATCAATTTGACCTTTCATCAAAATTGCTATTGGCTGCTGAATTCACAATGACGTGGACTTTGTCTGCAATTTCACTGGCTGTGAGAGCATCCATCCCAAGATCAGATTCACAAACATCCCCAGGCATTGCTGCCAGCTTGTTCTATTAGAACAAACCATATGAACAAAATATTTATCTAAATAATCATATGGAATTTGACATTATCAGAGTAATAGTAGAAGACTTATATAAATACCTCTCATCGTGCTAGATGATTCAAAGAAGCAATCCACAGTACTCATAATCTAGATCTAGATTAGAACAACTGAAAATATAGAAACTTGTTAGTAGAAAGAATGTTAGGATTCTTCTAACTGGAAGGTGGGCACAATGATGGAACTGATAAGAGCTGCCACCAGTTAGGGAACTCTCAAAAGTAGTGAATTAGGTTTTTTCTCTATTCACTCACTCAGTCTACTGTCAAAAACTTAACCCACCATTAAGGTCAATAAATGACTAAAAAAGGGTTGAGTCTAAAACCCTACATGGACTGGGCCTAATTGACTAACGGGCCACACTCAGGATATTTAATTAAAACAAAAATAATATAATATAATATAAATTATATAATTAAAATATCTTATATTCTCCCACTTGGCCCGTACATTATATGTCAGTTGACGTGTCAAGGTTAATTAAGACAATACTACTAGAATCATGGTGATAAGTCCCCTTATGTCGAGTGTTACTTTCCATGTATTACAAGTAGCATCCTTACTTAATGGGTTATAACTTTATGAATAAACCTTAAATGTTTATTCGGTTCCAACTTGGATGTATGTTAATCCCATATAATTCAAGTACCAAACTTGAGACAACAAACCACAATTTGAATTTCATCAGTTCATAATACCTCATTTAGATCACTAAATGTGATCCATTTCTGATAAGATATTGGTCCTTTGACCTTTTTAATAGCATGCTCTTTACTCAAAGGATTTACGCTTTATGTGTTTTATGACCAATTAAATCCATGGTCATATAATAAACACCCTTGATGGATTTGAAATTAATTCAATAATTTAAAACCCTATGATGAAAGTCATTAATCAACAATCTTACAACTTGCCTCTATGAATGATTACAAGAGACATTTCATGATGGAAGGAAACAATCAGTGATTGTTTAGCAATCTTGCACTCCTTCATGATGCAACTTGTTCATCAAGCACGAATGTGTATCACAATGTTAACAATTTGTTGCTAACTCATCCAACTAAATTGAACAATCTCAATCATTCAAGAAAATGACTCATATATGTGAAGAATGATACTTAATGTACATTTAGTAATGTACTTCACCATTTGCGGCTTTTCAGTTGTCATTCAAGCATTAATTTGCTTGTGAATCCTCCTAATATTCATTGCAATGATATGGCTCATTTTGTACACATTCAAACAAGGCAATACCTTAGCAATTAATTTAGAAGGAATACTCATCATCTCCTTTACATGATGATCACATTGGAGACATATGGACAATCTAATCATATCCTCTATCAAGTGTGTTACACATGACAAATGTCATTTATTTATGGATGTTCAAGTGCTTGTGATTATAGGTTATTTATGATAATCTCAAGTACCTTGAGAATAATCCATTTATGTATTCTAAAAAAATACCGCACCTTAACCAATAATATCACAACTTTTAAATAATGACCATCCTGTCATTTGTAACACCTTGAGTCATTAAATATGAGCAATATATGGATCATCTACATGCAACTTATAGATGACCCAACTCCTACTAATCAAGTGATACAAACAAAACCATAATATTCTCAATTTGATCATGCATGTGATTATACCATGATATATTAATTATCACTATTGTGAGAGTTGCTTGTCGACTAAATTCTCCTTGTATAAGCTATTTGACCTCTTTCACCAATTCATATATCTCTCCTTATGTCAAAGATTGGAAAGATTCTAACAATATTCCAAATCAATATAGACATTAGTACCATGAAAATGTGGTGGGAACTATTCATTAATATAAGAGGTAATATCTCACTATAATGAGTTCCTTTTCTCCATAGAGAATCTTCGGCAAACAATATTCTTTTGTAATACTTAATGTTGCATACTAACAACTATACAAATATTCAAATCTTATTGTTTGCCTTGAAATCTCACATATCTATCATGAAGCAATGCCTTCACTAGGAATTTATTTCACTTCTTGAAATATGAAATTGAGGTCATACTCAATATTTATATTTATGTTCTAACTGAATACTTTTATGTACATCATGTAGTCACTGCGAATTGCTAAATTTTAATCACTATTGATCTTAACTCAATCTGTTAATGAGATTGAAGTTGCAGAAAAAGAGTATCACCCATCAATTTTGAGATATGTCTTATTTATTTTCAGATACTCCTTGTATAATTGACAGAATTCTTAATAGTGATACTCCTAATTTCAAGCATGATCAATTGTGAATCTAAGAACTTCATGATGTTTCTACATTCACCTTAACAAGGTGAGTGCCATGCAAAACTAATGTTCTACCATAATTAGAGGTTATTCTTTATATGTGATCACCCCTGATTAGTTTGATCACTTCCACTAATCATGGCAATAATAATAAATTTAGCATTCCTCAAAATACTACACTAAAATATGATGGACAAAATACTTGAATGCATTTTCATCAAAATATGCAATATAAGTCTCAAGAAATATTTTCCTTCTACACTCTTTCCTTTATAAGACAATTTTGTATAAGTATATATAATAAGGTAAGCTTCCAACCCTTTAGATTTTCAAAATAATTTAAATACAAATTAAGTTGGAATCTCATTTTAAATATACATAATTGTCTTGAATGTGTATCCCAAGAGGAAAATCAAATTGTAAACTTTATTGCTTAATATGTCTATTAATGCTATGTTTCTTCTCTCAACAACATTATCTAGTGATTTCTTGTATGAAGAAACTTAACATACATATGGACTAGGTTATTGTCCATCAATGATGTACTCATCATCTATCTCCCTTGTTGATCTCACTAACATTAACATATTTGTTAGATTAACCACCCACTTTTGCCTTATACATATCAAATGATATTGCACAATCATAAGGCAAATAGTGACTAGGCATTGCGAGAGGACAAGGGAAATATAGAATTCCATTTACTAGAAAATAAACTTGAAATATATAATGGTACATGTAATCTCTTACTAATCATAATCCTTCAAGTTCTCTTAAAGTGGTGCGATGGTTTACATATTTCTTAATGTAAATCATACATAGATTAGAATCAATAAGGTTAAGAGATCATTAAATCTCATTATTAATAAACTTTTTAACCCTTTTATGAATATCTTTGAAAATACCGTGCACCACATAACTTGAAGAAATCCTTCTCATGATTAGTTTAAACAAAACGAGATTTTAAATGTACTAATGATAAGAATCTATTCACCATTATCTCCAATCAGACCTTTTATTATTAGCACATAACTCTTATATATGCATATCATTTTATGGTCTTGAAGTTGGTAACCTAATGACCCTAATTTAAAATCTCATTCTTATCCAAATTTGAGCCAAACATTTGATATATGCCTTTTCAATAAATACTTAATCTTGCATGTATTTATGAAAACGTATAATAGCTCATACTAATGAGATAGTAAATTGAGAATCTCTTTTACCAACAATAATGGAGATCGTTTATGCCAATACATTTTATGGAGAATCACTTTATAGTCCGCATATAATGCAATAACTTTTTATGAGAATTTCTCAAATTCATCCTTCAGCCCACGAAGAATTCTTAACTCTGTTCCATTCATTATGTACCCATAACCAGCTCTTAATTGAGATCATTGTATTAAGACAATTTTGTCTCATAATACTATCTCATTTTGCATGCTAGTATTAAGAGGTACTAGAACTTTCTTAATGTCAAGTTTAATTTAATTGAATAAGTCACATTTATCTTCTTCTAGGCTCAATAACTGTCTCCAACTAAAAAGATAACAATAATACTACAAAACATAGAATTAACTTTCAATCATGCTTATGACAACACTTTATGAGGCAATCAACCATCACACTTGAGCGTATATTTACCAATGTAAATCGTACAATCATAAATTTCGTGTCACTAAAGTCTACCTGTGGGCAAAGACGTCAACATAGCACAACTTTATGTTCTCTGATTGGTGAAACTAGAATGCATTTAGATTCCTAATACCTGTGGGCTACTTAGAAATCATAAGGCTGTTTCTATCCCACCCTTATTAAATATGTAATTATAATTATCTACCTATGGGCAAAGATTAACCATAACTACATATTTAATTACAGGTGATACCTTTAAATCTTTATGTGATGATTTGTCTATCAAGACAAATACATGTACATGTAAGGATGCTGTGGCTACTCCTAAACTCTACATTCGCATCACAAAGACATCAAATCATTGTGTATATTAATTGTACATTTAGCCAAAATTGATATTTTAAATCCACGTGTGATTAGATATGCATACAACATATGAATAAGGATGCTGCGACTACTCCTTAAACAAATATATATGCTAATCACTAATATCATATGTGTACAATTAAATTCCATACACACACACACACATAATATCAATGAGAATTTCAACTAAATAATTTAATCAACTAAACCATTTATGTGATCAAATTATAATTACTCATTGATTATAGTTGATATTTTAAAATCCGTATGTGATTATTTATCCATGCACTATATAAGAGGATGCTGTGGCTACTACTCATCAACTTTGCATGCTAATCACAATGATCAACTATGTGCATTTAAATCTCATATATGTACAACATAATAGAGAACTTAACCAATTAATTTAATCAACATAAGTGACTAAATAACTAAAATTAAATTTTCCCACTATTTTATGCACCCAAAAATTATTTAATAAATCAAATTCAGCACATTTCAACTCAAATATAATTTTGCAAAATTCAAACCAATATATAATTGCCTAAAACAAAAATATTTAAATAATTAAATGACAGACAAAAAGAATTTTACAAATTTTTCACAATATGTTAAAATAGCCATATTGATTTTTATTTTATTTAAATAATTTAAATGGCACATAAAATAGATTTTGCATAAACCAAATGGCTAAATAAATAAAGGCCAATTTAAATGACACTTTATTCAGCCCAAAAAAAAAGTTTGCTGGAAATAAGACAAAATTGGTCAATACTGCAAAAAATACAAGCGGAGCCCAAATCCCAAAATCCAGAAACAAACTAAATATTTGGTCCCAAAAAGAATTACCTTTTTCTTTTCTTTTTTTTTTTACTACTAAAGCATATGTGTTCTCCTATTAGAGGCAATTCTATTCAAGTGACTATCGGGCACTAAATGTGAGTATCTCTTTTAATGAGAATTCAAACCTTAGTTCATCATATTGTGAAGGACTCAACAAGAATTCCTAATAACAAATTAGAAAACTCAAACAATCTTTCTTCAGCCCAAATAATCTCAGAAAATCAAACAAAGCAACCCAAAGATCAATAATCCAATAAAGGGCCTAAATTGATTTCTTTTAGACATATAAACTTGGCCTCGATAAGTTTCCGAAAATAAACCGAAAGAGTGACAAAATTATGAACCAAAAACAAATTAAAATAGCAGAGGCCCATGTTCCAATTTTCCTGAAATTAAAACAAATGTTCCCCAGCCGAATAACAGTTTTTGAAATCAAAATAATTGGCCCAAACAAGCAACGGCCTCGGCCTAACAGAATCCAAGAGGGTTAATATATTTATATATATAAATAAATTTTATTCCCTTTTTTTTGAATTTCAAATGGCCCAAAAACGCAAGAAGCCGAAACAGTAGGGAGGCCCAATGCAGAAATTCTAGATTCAAAAATGAATTGAATAAAATAAACAGCCAGCCTAATTTAATAAGGCCCAGATCATGCGCAGCCCAATTCCCTAATTAACTGAAACGTAGCGTTTCACTTTGGCACAAACGACATCGTTCTGTGTGCTGAGGAAAGGCTTTGTCCAGAATGCAAAACAAAGCGTTTTGCTCATCTTCCCCAGCTAGCCGGACCCCTACCGGCCTACCCGATCGGTGACCCAAAAAGGCTGGCTACAGACCCACCGCTACCTGAAGCCTCAGATGGTGGTTTCCAGTAATTTCGAGTTCTCTCTCCGGAAGTTTATACGGCGTAAAGATCGAAAGTTAAAGGCAAGCAACTTATTGACAATGATATCATCAAAACCAAGACCAAAAAACCAAACTCGAAAAACTGAAGATAGCGGTGCACAAATTTTGATGGAAAATTGTTTATTTCGTAACCCATGACGTCACAGGCTCACAGCAATAATGTGATCGAAGATAACCTCTTGTGTATATGAAGGTATGAGATGGATATTCCTTATATCGGCTCAACTATCCAATCGTTTTTGTTTTAAAAACCAAATAATGTATGGACAATTAATGAACAGAGTAACCCTAAGAAAATCATACATATAATCATACATATATTCAAATCCGAAAACAAAAGAAAAGGAACAAGATCAAATGTGGTCTTCCTTTGAATTATTTCTCAAATTAATTTTCAAAAGAAAATTAAAATACATCCATAATATATCATAAACAAAAATAGCAGGGAGAAAGAGATTTAAGTAACCAGGCTCTGATACCACATGTTAGAACAAACCATATAAACAAAATATTTATCTAAAGAATCATATAGAATTCTACATTATTAGAGTAACAGCGGAAGATTTATATAAATACCTCTCGCCATGCTAGATATTCAAAGAAGCAATCCACAGTACTCATAATCTAGATTTAGATTAGAACAACAGAAAACATAGAAGCTTATTAGTAGAAAGAATATTAGGGTTCTTTTAACTGGAAGGTGGGCACAGTGATGAAACTAATAAAAGCCGCCATCAGTCAGGAAACCTCAAAAGTAGTGAATTAGGTTTTCTCTTTATTTACTCACTCAGTCTACCGTAAAAAAACTTAACCTACAATCAAGATCAAAAAATGACTAAAAAAGGGCCGAGTCTAAAACCCTACATAGACTGGGCCTAACAGACTAATGGGCCACACTCAGGATATTTTAATAAAAATAAAAATAATATAATATAATATAATATAAATTATATAATTAAAATATCTTGTATGTTCATCATGAGGGCCTCGTAATTTTCGCCATATAATACTTTAAGGCTCTTGAACAGTGCACAGTCTATGATCTATATAATATATCAAACCAAAATCCATCATCAATTTTTATTTACTATAGCTATTATTAAGACAATTTTTTGTGTACTGAAAAATATAAGATCAATATGTTCAAACCAAATCACTTATCACAAATTCATTCATTATTTAGATTAACATGGTTTTCCTCGTATCCTAAGTCCTTTTTAACCGATTCATGAATCTTAAAAAATTAAAAATGTTACGATTTTATCATTAATCTTCTCCAAAAATTTCAGTCGTTTTCAACTCTACCCTTGTTAACTACATTAACGACGGAGTTCTTAAAGTACATTATGTAGTTCGAGCTAAATGAGATAAGGATAGAGTTGAACAACAAATAGTTAACTTTACAAGGGGAGCTACAGTTTGAACCAAATTCCTAATAGATTATGTATATTAAATTTATCTAATGTACGTATTTTTTAACTAATTAATAATTAATGAAACTAATTGAATTAGAAGAACCCAAATTTATTTCCAATAATGAATGAGAAAATTGGTAATAAATTAATCATCACCTCAGTTTTCAAGCTATTTAACGCCGCTTCCTTATCCTTTGCTCTGATGACCAAGACGAAAATTTGTCCTGCATTAGATGCTATCCTTAACATCTTAATAAAAACTGCAAAATTGGAGATAAAATACAGAACATATACTACACACAGGGAGATTAAGATATTTTACGGGATTATGTTAAATAACTTCACTCACATAAAGTAAACTAAAGAAAAAGCTTTTGTAAATGAACCAAAAATCAAATATTGATTCTAATTTAAGACAAAAAAGGGATAATTAAATAATTTAACCATATAATAACCAGAGGATAGCTAGTGTGATAAACATATCAATATATATAGTAAAATTTAAATCAAGCTGCATTCCTTATAAGATATGATACATGAACAATAAAACTCATTTTTCGAACTCCACGCATTAGAGAGAAATGAGTATATATTTATAGCAAGTCATACTATTCATAAAACATATGCCCCTAGTCTTCATTATAAAAAATTTCTAATAACTAACCTCATAAAAAACCAATAAAATATAATTTAGACATTAACTTGGTCTGAAAATGACATAAAATTCCAGATTTACCCAATACCATTAATTACATATAAAAAACCATAGAATGTGCATTTATAATGAGAATTTAAATAGGAGCAACCTTTAAAAAAAAAGGAATGCATACCACATTTAGCAATTATTCTCTCTGATCGTAAATATAAGAACCAGTTCAATTTGTAGTGTAATTTATACTATAAAATGGGTCTTATATTTATGACCAAAAAATTGTCTTATAATAAAGATCATTTATTCCTTCTAAAAATTGTCTTACATAAGAAGAATAACTTCTGTATAACAAGGAAAGAAACCTCTTTGGTTTACAATATTACAGAAAGGGCGTTTACCTTTCCCTACGAAGCCAGTGGCACCAGTAACAAGATAGTTCTTTGCCCCAAGAAAGTAGGCAATACCAATTCCATGGCCATATTTGCTTTCTGCATTATTCTGACAGTAAACAACTGTGTTAAGCTATTTAGATTTGGTGAAACGGTCAGTAGAGAAATGGAAATATTTGAGGTGGCCGCGATTCTTAAGGTAGATAGATTTGGGGCATCCGTACTTGTTTGTTCGAGAAATAATAAGACGACCATAATAATCCCGGCAGGATGATAAGGAGGAGCTAATGTTGAGGCAAGAAATCATTATTGTTGCTTTGAAATATCGTCAAGGGATCCTTTGAAAAGCTATCAATAAGGACTACACCTTAAATATAGAATGCGTAAAGTCCTATTCAAGAGAAATTAAAGTTTGGTGAAAGGACTCGGTATGACACGTGTTTAATGGATTTTGCAATTTTGGTTCCAGGCATGTGCATGTGGTGGAAAAGGTTCTAATGGATGGTTCCTCAATGAGGAATGGTTCTTGTGTCGATCGATCGACGCAAATTAATGAACCAGACAGGGCAATGAAGGCATAGTTAATTAGGAATATACTCGTTGTGGTTGTGAATATAGGAGTTAGATATATTACCTCCAATCCTAGATGTAAGAACTAGTTTGTAATGCAGTTTACTCCTCTAATCCTATTTATAAAGCAGAGAGAGGGGGGATTTTTTTGGTCCTATTTATAGGGCACTGAGAACAATTTTTCGGATGTACAATTTTACCCTTCATTTATTATTGTGTTTACTTTATTTGCATGAGTTATAATGTATATTAAATAGGGATAAAGTTGGAAAGTTGAATTTTAAATAAGAGTTAATAAAGTTTAAGGTTTTTCTTGGTTTATGTGAAATATGTTGGAAGTGACTTATAAATAAGATCAGAGGAGTACACTATAAACTAGCTCTTATAGTTAGAACAAAAGATAGTAATTAATTTGTAGAGATTTAAAAAAATTAGTTACATTAGAAACTCTTCCTTTAATAAAAAAAATCTCTTAATATATGCAATCAATCAATAAAAAGAGTTTAGAAAAAAAATTAAATTTGGGAGACAAAGTGAATTAAGGTCTTGTATTTATGATTAAAACAAATCCCCCTACTAATTTTTACATTTAGAACCAAAGAGAATGTCATATTTTAGATAAAATCCTACATACGTTGATATGTTATTTATTATTTTTCTTATAGGCTAATGTATCTTTTAAGTTTTATTTCTGTTTTTAACAAAAAATGACAATTTATTCGATTAAAATTCATCTTATCAAAATTATTCTGCTTTGATTAAGCTAATCTGTTATAGTTAAGATATTTTAAGTCTTTAAAATAAACAATTAATGCTTAAATATAAAATTAAAAATATTTTAATTTATGACATATAAATTATTATTTTGAACTAATTAACAACACATAAACAATTGCATAATACAAAATATTGATGATTATTTTGTTGATACGTATGGATATCTTTTTATTGAAAGCAATCATATTCAAAATACTGTCAGGCATTAAATATGAGTACTTCTTTTTTTTAAAAAAAAAATTGAATTTAATTCACCACGTTAAAAATATTGATGAAATTTAAAGCAACTACCAAGAAGCTATCCAAAAACAACCACCACCACCAAGAGTGCGTTGACTTAGACCATTCCCTGGCTACTAGAATAACGGGCCCTCTCATTCCACTGATCCAATCACTGCGGAAAGAGCAACTATGGGAAAACTTTGATCGGTTTGCTCTAACTATACATAGATATAAAATCTTGAAAAAAAATAAGTTGTATTATTCATAAATAAAAATATTTGCATACATATTTCTCGGTTATATGAAATTTAATAATTCATACTGTTCCTTAATATACAAATCGATAAGAGTTGGGTTTAATTAACAAGAGAGACTAGTCAAAATGAATCAAGATTCTAATTATTGCTATGAGAATACTAACTTCTAATACTTGATTATACTTCAAATATGATTATTTTCTTTGTCGTTTTTCCCAACAGAAATATGATTATTTTTATTATGAAGATATTTGTGCTTAGGAAAAAATACATACACATAGGTCATGCAAATTTTAGATTCGGTATTATATAGTAATTTAGTAATATGGTAAGCGGTCTCACCTCGTAAGAAGAAGAACACAAATTTAGATCTCGAAAAACGTATTTGTTGGAAGGACTTTAATCTTTACACTTTCACTCAACAGATATTAGTTTCAATATAAAGTAATTTGAGAAGACTCTGAATTATATTACAAAAAAAATAAGTAACAATATCTAAAATTGATATATGGATAATGGGAAAGCATATAGAACATTCTGGATAATACTTCCCATGAATCACAGTGATTAAAAGAACCACATTCCACAAGGACAAGGAATTAGGTTAATGGAAATCATTATTGTGTTTAGGTTTCAACTTTAAAGTCATTTGTGAGTGGGCCAAGTGAAAACGATTGTTGGCTTTATCTTTTTAGAAACAATAATAAATATATCATATCACATAGATTTTCCCCTAAAAAAATTTGATATCTATGATATGGATATAATGTCCTGATTCATTATTTTATTTAATATTCTTTTGCGCGTTCCATAATGGGATCCATTATCACTGATATTTTAATAAGGTTTAAATTTTTCTTTGGTGATCTCGGCCACTAATTGAAAATGTACAGATAGGGTTACATTTACACTACATTAATGATAAGCCTTGCTTATTGAATTTTGAGTCGGACGCATGCACAAATTGAATCTCAACGTAATTCAGAGGGAAATTACACAAAAAAGATTGATTTTGTATTAAATTCATTCATTTCTTTTTCTTTAAAGATTCAGTTCTTTACGGTATATTTATAAAAAAAAATTAAAAATCAAAAGAAAAGAACATGTTTAAACTAAAAACGAATGATACCAAAGCGTATGAGAGTAAATAAAGCCTATATATCATTATTTATTATTCTTCGCTCTAATCTTTATTATACGCACCTAAGAACATTTTAAATAAAACATATTAAATTATGAAACATGTTAAAGGTCCTTATAATAAAGACTGGAAGGGGTATCATATTTTATCTTTTCATTATTAATATGATAATATGATATTTCCTTTGATCTTTATTATAAAGACTTCTGACATATTTCATAATATAACATATTCTGTCTAAAGTATTAATTTTTTTTAATCTAACATCCCTAAATATAAAAACTTATAACTAACTAAGCTTTTTAAACTAATTAATGACTTTGATTCAGGATAAATTTATTATTTTATAAGAAATAACTAATTTTAATTAATTTTATTAAAGATAGAAAGGAGTATATATAGTTATTTTTGCAACCCTAATTGTTCTCTTTATATTTGTCAGATATTCTCTTTTATATATTTTTTTATGGGACGCAAGCAGTATATAGTATATATTTTAATAGCAAAGAATTCACATTAGTTAAGCAAATTAAATTTGGTAGTTGATTATTGAGTTGCCAAAACTTTGTACTTGTTCTTTGGATTGGGCGTAGAAACTTCTATTATTGCAGCTGCATAAAGGGATTGCTCAAGATCGTGTGTAACTTTGAATTGATACTGAATAGTTTCTGATTTGTTTAGTTATCTCTTTTATTTGTAATTTTGTTTTTTTGAACTTAAAATTCTGTTGCATCTTATTACATTTTATTGACGAGAAGCATTTCTTTCGACAGGGGGGGGGGAGAGTTCACGTTAGTTATCTTTACTTTCTCTCTTGAACTATACTTATATTGAATGCTTTACGGTTATTAACAGTTAAGATTCCCCCATTAACAATTAACAATTAATAATAAATAGATAAAAACCTGTGCTTCTTATAATTATATGGCCTTCACTTTTAGACTGTTGGTATAATGATGGGAAGAAAACATGAAGGGTGGGACCATCTTCCTTAACGAAGGGTGTGCATGAAAAAGTTACTTAGACACTAAGAATGTGCATGAATTTGTACACTTCTTTTTCTTTAAGGGAGGATGAATAATAATAATAATAATAAATAAAAACAATACCTACGAAATAATAGTAGCAGTAATAATAATAACAATATATTGCAAAAAGCAAATATGATTTCAACCCACACGCATGCAGATCTCTGTTTGATTATCATAATAATAATGGAAACTGGAAAGTGGCCATCATCCCAAGAAATTTTATAGTGCCTTGTGTGTATCCATTTGTGAAGGAGATAAAGTGTGAGAAAATAAAATAAAATATAGTTAGTGGGCTGCACCTCAATGAACATATCACTTTTATGTTTTAAAAAAATAAAAAATTTCTACTATATATTATCAATTTTTTAAGCTATGATATCATACTACCATTTAATTTGAAATAGTTGTTTCGTACTTGACATTTTTTTGGTTTTCAAATTTTTTTAATTGGTAAGATGTAAATTTATCTTGAAATTTTTTTTTAGTTTAATTTAACTTGAAAATTTTAAAATATAGCAATGTTGTCTCACCTCGTTAAAAATTTAACATTGACTATTAAAAATTAGTGTTGACCAACAGTAAAAGGTAACATTATTCTATTTTACTACTTCTAGGGCGATCTTAAAGCCCAAAAAAACTTCGGAAGCAACACTTCTCCTGGATGAAGATTTCTAAGACAAATTTGCACCAAAACCTTTTACATTAATATGCTTCGATATATACTAACATAAAATGATACTCTTCTAAATCCTAAATATAAAAGCTAATTGAGAAATTTTAGTCTTAAATATAATATATCAATTTATTTTATTTTTTAAATTATAATTTCTCTCAAACTATTTTTATTGATTATACATACACACACACATTACAGGAGTTTTCCCAACAATAAAAGTAATTATAATGTAAATGATTAAAAGAATATTTTAACAAAATTAATACATATATTTTATTAATAACTAATTTAATTAATTTTTAATATCTAATATTAGGTATTTAGTTGCTACATTTACATTTACATTTACAGCATGAATATGATTGTGTACATGTGGTTTGGCAAAAAAAAAAAAAAAACCATCCCTATGCCGTCATTTTTTCCTTTAAAGAAAGACATTGATAATTAAGTGTATATGACTATATGTAATTATCAACCCACTCTCTTGTCTTTTGTAAAGGTGGTTTGAAGGGAAGAAAATGACACTATATATAATTATTTATATATCAAAGACTGAGATGCTGTTCATTATTTTTCAATCTCTAATATTATATATAAGACACTCAATAATCTCTCTAGGCAGGTAATGGATTGAGATTAATCGTCCAAAATAATGGTCACCGCTTTAATCAAATTATGCCACCGTGACCGTCTCAAAAGGACAAATCATCATGACTCATTAGTTCATTGATTGAACTTAAATAATAATGAAACAAAAAAGTCTATCAGAGTTCCATTTGAAAGTAACAGAATAATTAACCCTATTCAATTTCCATTTGTTAAAAACAACCTCACTTTGTTTATTTTTAAATTTATTAGCTTCATCAATTATTAGGATCATCACCAATTGGCATGAACCAGGCGTGCATGAATGACTCAATGGCTCCACATTTATTTTTTGTTTCCCGGATTGTCTTCATCAACAAACAAAAGCATATTTCACCCATATACCAAATAAAAATTAATTAAAGTAATCACACACATCAGCACATCAAGGATATTTTGAAGCTGCCAAATCACAGCTATGAAAGAAGAACTTTTTAAATATTTGTTATCAATTTGTTATCAAAATGTGGTCACATAACATAACACGATAAGGTCAAAAGGAGACGTCTATTTACAACTGGCTAGACTCATCGTTTAAATTTTCTGCAGTGCATAGGATACACCCTTTTTTTTTTTTTTTAGCTGAAGATTCACCCATTTATTTTGATCTAAATATTTGAGAGGTAAAGATAAAAGTATATTCTAAATTTAATCAAGAAAGTTGCTTATTATAGAAGTATGTCTTAATTTATAAAAAAGGCTTATTATCAATTATATATTTAAAAACTACTCATGATTAAATTAATTTATTGGTTTGTACAAACGGAATCTACGTAAGAACTTTTTTCGATTTCTTTTTTTTTTTTGGTGACAGAACTTTTTTTAATTTCTAAATGCCAATTATGTGTGCCTAACTATGTAGTGGAAAAATATGGTCTGAATCTGATTTGTTTCTATTATTCAGATCATCTTTTTCAGTAAACGTTAATAAAAAATTAAAAGAGGAAGGATGATAGATATGTGGTCCCTGGTCGGTGGCATGTGGCAGCTTCTTATGTGTGTGCATTGGTCTACGACAACCTCTGCCATATAGAATTCCCACCGACCCTTCCATTTTTCTTTTAATTAATGGGATGAGTTGGGTCCTTAGCTCATGGAATTTAGATAGCTTTCGTGCTTTAAAAATGTTTATAAAAAATATTTATAAATCATTATATCAGGATTAAAATTTAAACTTGTGTCATTCCAATATATAAATCATATCATTAGCAGTTAGATCATCATTTTTTCACTCTTGCGGTATATTCATTATTCTTCAAATATCATTCATCTCTTCCCTTGTTGCTGAGAAAGCACCTGCCTTTGCCAATAAATAAAGCTAGCCCTTTTTCATTCTATGATATTAGTGCAAAAAGTGAACCCTTTGCTTATTTTAATTAACCTCTAACTAACTTAATCTCATGTTAGTTATTTAAAGATTTTTAATAGAAAAATAAAATTTATTAATTAAGGGTAAATAAGAATGTTCCTCTTCCCCACCCAAGTTTTATTTTGAATTGAAACATAATTTAATTGAAATATGAATTCAAGATTTAGAATTTTTTATGCATTGCATCTATATGACAATGAAAAAAAAAAAAAGAACTTTTTAATCTATGATCTAACTTCTACATACCCGCACATCATCACCCCATTATTCTTTTTAATTACTTGATATTTTGAAGGTATGATTTAGTTGTTTTCTGATGAACTTTTAAATCTTTTATTAAGAAAAAGTTCAGAGAAAAGAACAAGACAGTGGTTAAAGTCACTAGCCCGTATAGGTTGATTTCTCTATCAGTAAGGTGCTTGACCAAGGATTGTGGTGCCTAGCTAGTCATCTGACTCAGCACAATTTGTTTTCAATCAAAGTAACCCATTTAATAATGGACACCGAAAAGGAGAGGTGAATAAGTTCCTCACCCTAGCATACCAATCTTTTTCTTCTATCTGTTTTTGAAAGTCAATATATAACCAACTAGTTAGTTTAAACCTGAGAGTTGTTAGTTTGGGATAAGAACAAGTCTTTTAGAGTGTTTTTCCAGGTTCAAACACACACCAGCTAATTTTAGGAGTATGCTAAATTTATCGATAAAAATATATAGGTTTTAGTAAAATGGATTATAACCGCTCAGATATAAAGTTTTGGCTCAAGTTCACGTGAATGCGTAGATCGTACTTTTGAGAGTGTTACACCTTTAGCTGAAGCCAGCTATACTTCAACATGATTCATTGAATTTAAATAGAATAATGAAAAGAGAGTTTATAACGTGACAAACTAAGTTTGAATTCCTATTAAACGAGGTGCACACATTTAATGTTTGATAATACCTCTAATAAGATTAACGATACCTCTGAACAGCGTGTGTAAGAGTAGAAACTTCAGGAGGAAAAATGATCTCGTCAAAAGTTTCATGTGGGGTCCACATGAAAAGGGTAAAAAATGCAATACCGCTAATCCTGAAGGCCATGCATGCATGACAGAGATTTTCGTTCTTTCTTTTCTATTCTTTATGAACCGTCCACCGATGTGACCTGTGTTAGGCGTGCTTCCTTAGCTTTCCCCATTTCCTGCTTTTATAAATTAAAGCCTCTTCTCTCCACAATTCTCAACCACAAGAAAGAAAAGCGCTTTCATCATCTGCAAATTCTGCAGTTTCAACAAAATCATCAAGTCACATGGCTTCATCATCATCAAGCTCTCAGCAACCTGCGTTTCCTCTTCATTTTTGTTTCTTCCTGCTAACACTGTTCATGTTTCTGGGTTTCTCATGGTACATGAACTACGAGCCAATCATGGAGAGCTTGATGGAGCAAGTGAAGATGGTTCTAATGGTGTCTCCTCTCTTGCTTCTTCTTGTGCTTCACTTCCTCTCTAACAGTGGCGGATTCTTCTCTTCTCTGATTCCTTTTCCTGAGAAAGATTCTCTTCACAGAGCAGGAGGCACTCCTTGGGGTGTCGCCTTCCTTCTGGTTTTTCTCTTCTTCATGATCTCTTACCAGTCTTCTTTACAAGAACGCTGGTTCCCTCTCTTGGCCAGGTGAAAAATCTTGATGAAGCTTCTTTTTCTTGTTGTAATTAATCACTGTGTAATCTTGTGAATACTGTGAGCTCTTTCCATTTTTCCATGAAAGATCTTTCTCTCTTTAGTTTGTTTACATGACTTAGCTTCTGAGGTTTCTTTTCTTCTTCTTTCCTTTGTCTGAGCAAGTTAAATTGATATGGCTACTCTGATATATAGTTGATATAGTACAAGTAGATACGAAGTTAACATGTTTTCAGATTTTGATGTATAAATTTACATGTTAGCATCTTTGAGTGGTTTTTTTTTTTCCGGTGTAGATGAAATTCTTATAGCTAGCTAGTTCGCGTTGAAGATTATTGGGATTGAATTTATTTGATTCGGTTATTAGTATGTTAATCAAATAACATACAAACGCTTCTTTACCAATACTATTAATAATTATTGAAATTTTCTCATGATCCTTTACGTACATTGTATAATCCCCTAACCTTTACTTGACAATGATACCTCCGAAGTCCTCCTAAATTTATATTTGAAAAAAATATACTTTTAGTTTTTTAATTTTATACCTAATTTTAGTTTGATTTTTTAATTTTTAAAAAATATACTTAGTCCTTTAAATTTAATACCATTAACAAAAAATAATGATACTATAATACTAAACGGTTATAAAACATTTTCAAATACTAATATATTAAGTTTAATTTTTAAAACAATCATAATTGTTATAAAAAAATTATTTAAACCTAAATATTGTTATAAAAAAACTAAGAATTTATTAGGTCAGTAACATATTTATGAATCAAAGTAAAAATATGATTTCAAATAAGAGTATACTAGGAACTATTCTATTCATGAAAAATAAATATACTATAAACAATGACATAATAATTTTAAAAAGTCAGTCTTTGCCCTGAAAAAAGCAGAGTTCCGTAGAATCTAGATTTAAAGTTATATTCTGAGGAATATTCTTTCGGAAGTCACAGACTTCCCTGATTATCATATAAAATATATCTAAAAAAAACTGATAATTTTTGTATTTATTGACTTAATCACATGATGACCATTACGGTGTTCTGTTTGACAGAACGGTGGAAATCCCTTATAAGCATGTTTCACGAAAGCTGAGATAAAATTCTTCTTACATATTTGTCTCGTATTCTGTAAATTACTATTAAAAAGCGGCTTATAAGCTGTTTATAAGCCGTTACAAACAGGTCCTTAGTTTGCACTCTGTAACTCTGCATGTGGTTCGCTATTAGTTTCGATACAAGCAACTACCTTAAACATGAAGCCTATTTAGACCCTGTTTGCCACTACGATTAAAATCACTCATAAACATATTTCACGTAAGTCAAAACAAAATTCTTTTTACATATTTACTTCGTATTCCGTAAATCACAATTAAAAAGCTACTTATAAGCTATTCCAAACTTGCCTTTAATAATTATGCAAAAGTAATTGTTCTTTATTTTTTATTTTTTTTTGGGTTTCCTTTCATTACCATATCCAGCCAAACGAAATATTATGAGTATAACGATGTGGTCTCATCAAGCATAGAAGGCAAAAATGTTAATATCTCCGGTGCTCAATATAAAGCTAGCTAAAAAATTAGATTTAATCTCAAATATAAAATATCAATCTACTTTATTTTTAATTTTTCAGAAAATATCCTATTGATTGAAAAAGAAAATAGTTCTAGTGCACATTATTAAAAATAATAGTTTAAAAAGACTAACACACCTTTGTGATAGATAATTGATTGAACTAATTTTTTTAATATCATCAAATTGGTTGTCTGGCTCATATATTAAATATTAAAGGTAGTATTATATACTATATTACTACCTCTTATCTTTAATATAAGAGCTCGTTCGAGTTTTATTTTAGTGCTAAATGTAATACATCAATATATTTTGTCTTTCATATTTATCTATTTTTTCTAAGGTAGTCCTTATAATAATGGTAGTTCCAGCTAATACACTTGATTAGCAAAGATATTTTAGAAAAAATAATACCTATTTATCATAAATAACTAATTTAACTAATTTTTTTAATCTAATTAAATTAGTCAACTACTTTTTATATTAAGTACCAGAGGTAGTATTTACCAAAATTAGAGATCATCCAAGGCAAGCTAAAGAATTCACAATAATAACATCACTGAGAGATTCAACTAAGGGGCATTTTCTAAGAACGTCATCATAGGGACATGTACGCCTTCTTGCCTTTTCTCTATTTATTAAAAATAATTATATATGTTTGAAGTAAGAACGGACATTAAATATAAACAAGTCTTTGGATGAGAATTCAAATATTGATTACTACTTTGTGATCAAATTAGCCTGTTCCTATTATACTCAGCTTCTTATGATTAGTTCTATTTTATAAGGAACTATTATAGTACCCGCGCGATGCACGGGTATAAATTAAGGTTTTTTATATATTATAAAATGTTGAATAATTACAAAATAATTAGTGAAGATCACATTTTTGCTTCAAGTCATCATATTAGCTTAATATGTATAAAAAGTAAAATGTCTGTAAGTTTTCAAGGCATGCAAAATATATAGAGCCATTATCAACATTTTATTGTTCAGTATTATACCCCCATATTTAAATAAAGCCCAATATCTGACAACTTGACCTCTTTTAAGAAGTTAATCATGCTAAAATCAATGCATACTCAACATCAACATAGTTACTCCCAAATCAACCTTATTAATATTCCCCCAATAATAATCAAGTAAGAGAGGAAGGGAAGGAATTAAGGAAAATGCTTATGATGTTTTTAAAAAAAATATCATATTAACCAATTAAACTAATATCATTAATCTATTTAAATTAGTTAATTAGTTCTTATATTAAGGACTGGAAGAGTATTTTATATGTTTGAGGTGGATTCTGGTCTCTATATTTCAGCATTCACACTCAAAATCAAAGAAAATCTAAAACAGTTGCTAAATCAAATCAAATCAAAATCAAAATATTAGGATTAATGGGATTTTGATTCTTCCAAGGCTATATATGACTGATGTAAAATAAAGAGTAAAATTTGACATATGGATGGTAAGATAGAGAGGAAGATAGCATTGTTGAAGAAGTGGTAAGGAGTTGAAATCTAAAATATAAATATTTGCAGATCAAGACAGCAAAAATCATGATTCGATGAAGCATTATCGAAAGAAATCTAGTTAGAAAATATGAAATTGTGCACCCAAATAAATCGGGGTGAATCAAGGAAGTTATGTCATTTTCATATATTTTTAATTTAAAATTTTTAATATTTATTCTAGATCTTTATTTTAAGAACAAACAATTCAACCAAAATAATTTAAAGAGGAATATTGCAATCTAGATCTTTATTTTAAGTCAAATGATACTTAACAATGTGTGAAGATGCCCACGCTCTAAGGTTGTGATTTACTGATATTTTAGGTCTATTAATAATTAATAAAAGATACAATGATAATTATTAGGGATTTCTTTCAAAAGATTGCCGATAAATATATAATAAAAAATTGCCACACGGTTTCTGGATTTTGTGAATATAGTTCTTCCTATAATTTATCCATTTATAGATCAATTTAAATATTAAGTGGCCAATTTAAGCGGATATATTGGAATATTAGCAACATAGGTGGAAACATGGATAAAAAATGTGGCCTTTTTTTAAAAGAAAAGAAAAATATTTATCTACTCATAGATGATGCCACTTGTCATGCTACCAGCAACTCTTGTTTTGTACTCTACTTTTATATATTAAAGATTTATTGGGCCAGAGCCCAAAAGAAATTCTAATTTATTGGGTCAGTTCAATGGGAGTTGTGAACTGTTTGATTTGTCTGTGAAATAGAAAGTACATAAATTTTTAAAACTGAAAAACTAAAAATACATTAAAAAAACAAATATTCCATGCTAATTATTTTTATAATAATTTTGATAAGTCAAAATATTTCACAATTGCCTATTTATCATTTTAAAATTCAATAGGTGTTTATTTTGTCATTTTTTAAAATTTTAATACAAAACTAGTTTACACTTTGGAGTAAACGATGGTGTTAGGTAAAACATTGAGCAGAGTCTATTTCATAATTTAATTTCCTTTTTTATTATATGAGACGCACACAAATATTTTTCTCATAAAAAACAGTAATCCATTTTTTTAAACATCAGCATTAGCATTTAATTATAAGCACACTCCCTCCAATCACTAATATAGGAACTTAATGGGGTTAATTTGATTTTAAATATAAAATCTCTGTCTATTTTGTGTTTCGTATTCATTATTATTTTTTGATTAACTTACCTCATAAATTGATGTATAATTTAATGTTACGCATAGTTAGTTTAGAGAAATCACGTTACATTTATTATAACCAATTTATCTGACTTCTTTAATATAAATAAATTAGTTAAGTGGCTCTTATATTAATAATGAGATAGAGTACATATATTGATTTTCGTAAATAAAATGATTTTCCCCATCCTTGCCTCACCAACTTTTGACTTATTGATCAGATAGAGGGAAACTTTTCTCCGTTGGCCTTAGCAAGCTAGCTTGCCAAGTCAACACATACAGCCGAAGTGACTAAGTCAAAAAGATGATATAAGAGACTTTTGCCCAGAAAGCTACAAATGGCCATAATGCTCCCAATTGACTGAAGCGAAGACTTGACCGACTGCCCAGCCAACAGGCATTAGACAGAGAAGATGAGGGATTTTGGGCTGCCCATAGGATTTTTTTTTTTGGGTCAAAATATATTTTAGTAGCTGATGAACTAAGGCTTTGTTTGGAATAAAGCATTAAACATGAAGCCTAATTAATAATTATGCATAATTATTCTTAATAATTATGCTTTCATTAGGATATCCAGCCAAACGACAAATTATGAGCACAACAATGTTGTCTCATCAGGAATGAGAAAGCAAAATTTGGTTTATTATTAAATATTTTTTCTTGCAATAAATGTGATAAATTCAAGAATAATTTATTTCATTTTCACTAAAAAAATATAATGATTTGAATAAACAAATTTACTAGAAATAATACAAATTATGACTTTATATATGCAAACATAATAACTACATTTTTTGTGCTCTCAAATGAAAAGGGAAATAATCAGGAAGAATAATTATTATCATATAATAATAACATAGTAAATATTATATTAGTCCCTCTACTCTAGTCCCTCCTATAAGAGCTTGTTGGTGTTGAATTTGATCCTAAATATAATACCTTAGTATATTTTGGGTCTCATGTTTATCATACCAATTTACCTAACC